TTCCGTATTTTTTTGAAACAGGTATTTAGAGCTCTCGTTGAGACTACTAAAGGTATAAAAGGTGCAAAAGTGGAGAACCATAAATTTTGTGTCTCCGTACATTATCGAAACGTAGATGAGATAGTAAGTATTGTTTCCATTGAACGCCTCACATTTCAGTTGTCCTTAGTTTGCCTTGTAACATCATCCATATTTTTGCACTTTAACATTCAGGTTTGGCCTGTAATTGCACAATATGTTCACGATACCTTGAAAGATTACCCTCGACTACAGCTAACTCATGGACGAAAGGTAACTTACTCCAATCCCTTTTGAGTACGACTATAAATTTCCTGCCATAGTGTTTTGGATGATACTTGTATATATATTTGATTGGATGAAAAAAAAATACTTATGTGCAGTCTTTTTTCTTCTTCCGTGCATAGGTTTTAGAGGTTCGTCCTATGATTGATTGGGATAAAGGAAAGGCAGTCGAATTTTTTCTTGAATCCCTTGGTCAGTAACTCCATCTGATTTAGCATCCGTTCGGCAAACTTCATTTTCAATCACATTCATCAATTAATTGACTCACAAGTACTGTCCACTTATGAACCACTCATTTCTATCTACTTATAAATAAATCAAACCAATTACATAGTCTTTCCAAACGGAGGTAAATGTTATAGATTAGCAACATTTCATTCGTTTATTGAATGATGAAGCGTAATCTTGCAGGATTTAGTAACAATAATGATGTGCTCCCGATTTATATTGGAGATGACAGAACCGATGAAGATGCATTCAAGGTAAATACTAATGTAACTCCCGAACAGTTTAGTAATCTCATTTATCGATGTAATAGTGTGATTTACTTCTATATCAGGTATTGAGGAAGCGGAATCGAGGTTATGGAATTCTTGTATCTAGTGTCCCTAAAGAGAGCAATGCTTTCTTTTCTCTCGAGGATACGTCCGAGGTAAATGTTTACATCAGTATTAAGCTTTATTTAATTTCCTATTATCATTTTAATTTCAGTTTTCTTATTATATCATAGATTCAAATATAAAGTTGAGACATTTTAAATATGTGCAGGTTAAAGAATTTCTTGAATCCCTTGTGAGAATGAAGCAAAATGATGCAAAGATACTTGAGAGGAGCTGAGTGGCCATTTGCGTATAATACAAAATCATTTTTTTTTAAAATTTATAGAATTTCTAATGATATGGCAGGTGGAAGCTGCCATATGTGTATGCTATTTGTTTTTTCCAATTATTTTTTATGTGTGTTGCCTAAAGAACTTTTGCTAATTGTAAAGCTTTGTTCTTTGCATTTACTTGATGGATAATGAGGATCTAATTATGATTATTCCCTTTAATTTGCTATTTATTTTATTGTGTTTATTATATTGTTATTGGATGTTGAAGAACGAGTAAATGTTCTACAAGTGCTTAGTCGTGTGAGATAAGAGCGTATTTAGTTCATATTTGGCGTAAAGTATTGTTGACAAGTGCTTTATTGCTAGATATTGTGCATATCTAGTGATTTATGCAAATAATATATTGAACAAGATTTTAACTGTTTATTATAATCTTGTAAAGCTACGTGTACTCAATCTTACTAGACAAGAGATTAATGTTAAATGAACGCATGATAAGACCGTCCATCGAAATTGATGACATTTGGTAATTTGTGTTATTATAATGAATATTTATTATATTTTCTCTTCTATTATTCAAATTATCCCACTTAAATGATTACGCGTGTTATTGTTCATTTCTCTTTTGGTTTTTATCAAATTTAGTTTTTCATTTTTTTTCGAGTACTAAATTTTTTTCTCGCTGTTTATATTTCAAGGTAGTGTCAGAATTCACAATCTTGCATACTGGTTGATAAGATTCAATTTGAACTCAATATTTTAGGTTTTTCCAAACAAGGAAAATATAAATTTGTTTGAATTTGAGCAGTTATCACATGGGCTTGAGTTGAGCTGTACTACAAACTATTCCCATTTATTTATGTTGAATTCACTATCTAAAGTGGGTCCTAAATTTGGTGTAAATTTGCTGGCAATCATGTGGAGCTTTCACAAAGATCGTGTACAATTCTTTCATCACATCGCAATGGTTTCAGTTGGGATCCTCAACTTATGCAAATTAGAGCAATTACATCCTCAATCTTCAATTTGTAGCATATAGATTCTTACCCTTTTAATTTTCATACCTGCGTCGAGTCAATGGTTAACGTCAATTCGTTTGTTAAAAAGTAAATTTCATTAAAAGATCATGTGTAAATAAATTAACAACACATCTTTTATTTTGTTGTACTACTTTTTAATTGTCTTAAAATTTCGCAATCTTTACTTATTGTTGCGTTTATGTCCTTGACTTTTTCGACACGTTTTTATCCTCAAACTTTAATTAATTAGGATTTTAGTAGTCGGTGATTGTTTATATCTAAATATTGTGTTAATATACTTTAATACGAAGGCCGACCACTTTTTATATTTGTTGTTATGTTTATTTAAAAAGATAATGAACAAAGTTTTTTAGAACTTCTTTGATGCCCATTTTGCAATCTTACTTTTAACTTAAAAAATAAACATAAATTACCTAAGCCGCACGACATCAATGACCGCTTCAGCTAGCTTTTCTTTATTTTTTATTTTTTAATTTTCTTCTCCAAATCTGCAAATAATCAACACAAATCTACATGCTCGTAATTTCTGAATTTTGATTCAATTAGTTTATATTTTGTTTGATTATAGTAACAAATTATATATTTCATGATTATTTAGTAAAAGAAAATCAATTATAGGCTGATTTATTGTGATAACTGCTGATTAATATACCTTTTTAATTGCAAAAATCATGGATTTTTTTATAACTGTGAATTTGATGTTGTTTAGTTTATTTTTTTTGTTCTAGCATATATGAAATTTCATCTCTAGATTAATGATTTTGAATCAGTATATATGAAAATTCATATTTGGATTAATTGGATTGGGTTAGTGTATATAAAAATTCAACTTTGGATCAATTCAAGAAACGCATGCAACTTGTGTGTGAAAATGTAAATATACATATGAGAAAGTGAAAAGTGACATGATATGCTACTTTTTTAAAATGGTTGGAGTGCATCTCGTTTAAATTATTTTTGAATCAATTAAAGAGATACATATATGTGTGTATTTTTAAAAATTTAAATATGAATATGAGTTCAAAAATGCTTTAAATAAAAAAGTGAGATAATGTAACACTTTATTTGTCTTTTGCATATGAATTAAGGTTTTAGAATTTGAAAGTAACATTATCTGTTATTTTTTTTAAGAATGTCGCAGACTATATCATTTGAATTATTTTTTGATTAATTAAAGAGATACATAAATGTGTGTGTGTGAAAATTTAAATATGAATATGAATTTAAACTTTACTTTAAATTAAAAAGTGAGATAATATAACACTTCACTTATATTTTGCATACGAATTATGGTGCTAGAATTTGAAAGCGTGCCGTCACTCCTTTTTTTTAAAGAAAGTCACATATTATTTTATTTGAATTCTTTTTTTGATCAATTTAATTGATGTATATATGTGTGCTTGTGAAAGTTTAAATATGAATATGAATTGAAACTTTGCTTTAAATTAGAAAGTAACACGATGTTATACTTTAAAATTATCTTTGTATATTATTTATTGTGTTAGAATTTGAAAGTGACATATTCTGTCAATATTTTTATAAAAAGACTTACGCTCCCTTTGGTATCCTTTTTGTCGATATGAATAAAATTAATATATTCATTTTGTCACGGAGACAAATAAGAACAAGATAATGAATATAAAATTGACATATCAGGACACTATGGATATAAAAAATTCTTACTATTATTGTTTTAAGTTCTTACAAAAAAATAGTGCATTGTTATGATAAAATGTCCAACACAAGTTTTTATGATGTGTGCATAAAGGATATGATGAATAGAGAGAGAGAAAAGAGAGGAGAAAGGAATATAGAGATAAAGAGAGATATGAAAGTAGAAAATAAGAGCGTTAGGTTTTAATTTGTTGACCGACTACAATTAATGCAAAGATAACATTATTTTATATATTGTAATTATTTTTCGCATGATTTTTAAAATATTTTATTTATGCCCCACTCGCTTAGTTTTTTTTTTATTAATTAAAATTGAAAACATAAAAACAAAATTTGATAATTAAAAAAAAATTTCAAGCAGCGACCATATTTCAAGTTTTCAACCTAGATCCTTGACGAAGTGGGCAATACGAGATGGGCATGAAGTATTTTGTCATTCCTACCCCTTACCCCATCCTATTCCCATTGACGGAAAATGAGGGCTTTTCCCTTTCCTAACCGCCAATGGCCGTGAAAACCACAAGTAGGGGGAAATCGGACAAAAAATTGATTGGAGACATATTCACTAATTTGATCAAAGATTGAGGACCAAATCTGCAATTTACCCTATAAGATATGGTTGACCATGGAAATGCAAAGATAAATTTTAAAAAATAAATTTTTTATGAGTTATGCATTGAAATAATTACAGGCGTTGAATATAATAAGAAAATTATTATATACTTTCGTTTGCCATAATTGATTTCCGTAATCAGTGCATAAAAAATCGCACGTAATTTCATGAAAGATGCATGAAATGGTAGAAACCAAAAAATCAGCACAACGCGTTGAATTATGAATATGAATATGTAGTGTCCATTGGTAATAATGGACCGACACATGCTTTTGCAAAATCCCTCCAACCATACACATTCACACTTTTCTAGACCAACCCCACAATTTTTCATTACACCCCACTCATAGAGAGTAAATAGAGCCGTTTCTCGGTGCTTTCGAAACTTGTACACATTACATCTTCATCTTCTCTATCAATCTCTCTGCTACTGTTTTCTACTTCTCCAATTGATTATGTAACTTACCAGATACTAGAAAAAGGTTGTCTGTTTGGTGTTGAAGTGTGCTATCCTCAAAATACTCGAACTGAAAAACACATGGCTTCTTGTAGCTACTTCTTGCTCCTGTTTATCCACATTTGCTTGTTGTTCGGCTTGTCTTATTCTGAAGATCCATCTTTTAGCTACGAATTTGTGGTCTCCTATATTACTGCTTCTCCTCTCGGTGTTCCACAGCAGGTATTTTTATTTTTTTTGTTTTTCTCTTCTCTGAATAGAATCTGTTGATTTTATAGCTTTTAGTGATGTGGGTCTGCTTATAATTTACTTGAGGTTGATGGGTTGGCTTTAGATTGTGAAAAGTTTGAATCTTTAACTGCAGATCTAAGAAATGTGGCGTAAAGATTTGAACTTTAGGCTTGAATGACTAAGATCATTGAACTGCGTTGATGTATATTGCAGGTTATTGCTATAAATGGGAATTTTCCAGGTCCCACAATTAATGTGACCACTAACAACTATGTTGTTGTCAATGTGAGGAACAAATTAGATGAAGATCTCCTTATGCATTGGTAGGGGTTTTGAAGTAATTCAGATTTTGAAATTGATTTGAAAATGTTTGTGAGTTTTTAGTGGTAAAAAAGATTTGTGTATTTGATGGGTGAATTAGGTCTGGTATACAACAGAGGAGGAGTTCTTGGCAAGATGGGGTTCTTGGAACAAATTGCCCTATTCCTCCAAAGTGGAATTGGACTTATGAATTTCAGGTTAAGGATCAGATTGGGAGCTTCTATTACTTCCCTTCACTCAATTTTCAGAGGGCTTCGGGCGGTTTTGGCACATTTATCATTAATAACAGAGATATTATTCCGATTCCTTTTGACACCCCTTATGGGGATATCACAATTGTGATTGGTGACTGGTACACCCAAAATCACACGGTTAGTATTCGTGCATTGTTGATCTCATGTTTATTTGAGCCGGGGAAAGTAAGTTCTTTAAATGTATTGGTGAATGTGGAGTTTTATCTATGTTTAGGCTTTAAGGAGAACTCTTAATTCCGGGAAAGATCTTGGAATGCCAGATGGTGTACTAATTAATGGAAAAGGACCTTATAGATACAATGATACTCTTGTTCCCAGTGGCATTGATTATGAAACAATTACGGTCCACCCAGGTGAGTTATGTAATTTCTAACTCATAAAGATGTCCATTTATGTTTGAACTAATATCTTTATTAATAAACATTACTGGCTTCAAAAGGCATATACATATTTGTAGATGCATAATTAAATATTGAGTAAATGGCACATGTTTAGAGATTTGACTTGATATGTGGTAGTTGGAGTAGTTCTCTCATATGGTATGTCTTTAAGAACCACTCTTTTTATAATTCTTTTGCCTCCCAACGCCTTTATTCGTACATAAGAGAAGGGAAGAATTAGACTAATGTGAAGTAACACTGTTCGAGATATGGCTAGCACTCACTTAAATGTAATATGGACACGCTTTAGCATGATAATGGAAAGATTTGTCGAAAAGATTGAAGAATTTGATAGGTCGCCAATAGGAAATAAAAACCTTACTTCTACGTTATCCGGTGAATGAATTCCAGATTACAATAGCTTCGTGTTGTTCGAAGTCTGTTTGGTTCTTCATTAACATAAGCTTTGGCATATTTCTTTGTATAAATTCTCATACAGCATTAGTGTGTTGTAATGATGAAAGTTCTGGCATTAAAATAAAAAACATACTTGTATAACTTCCATTTCAAATGCTGTATATTTGTATACTGGATAGTAATATTAGGTTCTTCTGCAGGCAAAACTTACCGGATTCGTGTAAGCAATGTTGGAATATCAACTAGTTTGAACTTCAGAATTCAGAACCATAACCTGCTTTTAGCAGAAACTGAGGGTTCATATACAGTACAGCAGAATTATACGAGCTTAGATATTCACGTAGGTCAATCATACTCGTTTTTAGTAACCATGGATCAAAATGCAAGTGGTGATTACTACATTGTTGCTAGTGCTAGATTTGTGAATGAAACAGTGTGGCAAAGAGTCACTGGTGTTGGTATCTTGCATTATACAAACTCTAAAGGGAAGGCATCTGGTCCTCTTCCCGACCCACCACAAGACCAATATGACAAAACCTTCTCGATGAACCAGGCGAGATCAATCAGGTCGGTCTGCCCTTTGCTCATTTTCATGTTGCAACTTAAAAACTTTCAATATTTACTCCCTTCATCTATTAAAAATAGTTAAGCATTGACATTCGAAGATATCTATTACATTAAATATGTACATTACACTAGGTCCTATTCGCAATGATGATGGTGGAGATTGAATCTACTCGTTCATCGTCAAATGTATATGAGTTCTCATCTCTTTTTCCGTCCAATGTCTTTGGCTCACTGGTCAGTTTTTTGGGTGTTTTTCACCAAGCAGGTGGAATGTGTCTGCCAGTGGTGCTCGCCCAAACCCTCAAGGATCTTTTAGATATGGTTCAATTAATGTGACTCAGGTGTATGTGCTCAAAAACAAACCGCCAGTAATGATTGATGGGAAGTGGCGGACTACACTTAGTGGGGTTTCCTTTGTCAATCCTGCGACACCAATTAGGCTTGCGGACCAATATAAATTGAAGGGTGTGTACAAGCTCGATTTTCCAACTAGGCCACTTGCAGGTCCACCTCGGATGGAAACATCTGTAATCAATGGTACTTATAGGGGATTTATGGAAGTTATATTGCAGAACAATGACACCAAAGTGCAAACATATCACATGAATGGATATGCATTTTTTGTGGTGGGGTATGATATGACTTCTTTCAGCATTCAATATATCTTTAATCAGAATGCGAGACATTGTTTTCCCATATTGTGATTAACCACTTCGAATAATTGAATTACAGAATGGATTATGGTGAGTGGATTGAAAATAGCAGGGGCACATACAACAAATGGGACGGAATTGCTCGTACTACGGCCCAGGTACTTTTTGTAAATTTTTTTTTAATGACATCACTTTTTGCAATTCTGCAATCATTTCTCAGAAATTAAGCTAACTTTTTTTCACATTGAAACCATGAAAATATAATCATGGAAAATCCAGCACTAAAAATTTCAATAAAATAAATCATGACTGTTAAGTGAACTATTATAGCCCCAGTTTGGTTGCCATTATTTCCAAAAAACAATGTTTTGAATAGTAATTTTTAGGAGAATATGTGGTTAGAAAGTAGAGAAATTTTTTTGATTTACGTGTAGAATATTTTATTATGTAAATCAGTGAATGCGTGGTTAAAAATGAGTATGTAGAAAAAAGAATTTAAAAATAATGGTTGTCAAACAGGGGCATAGTTTTGCATCAAGATTTCTAGCTGTTAGGGCCTGTTTGTCGTCGGGATTTGAAAAGCCGAAAGTTTTCTCTAATATTGAGAAACTGTTTTTGGACATGTTTGGATAATTTTTTTGGACGTGTTTTGTCTTGTTAAAAGTGCTTCTAGAGGCTTGTGAAAAAAGCTAAAGAAAAAACAGAAGCTATCCAAATAGGTGCTTAAAAGCCTCGGAAGAAAGAGTGTACGTTTTGTTCTCCTTCGTAGACAATAAGATATTTGCTGTATCTTGCCATTCTTACCTAAAATAGAAGAAGCCGTTCACTTAAATATGGGTAAAAAAGGTTGCGGTTCTTGGAAGTAGTTCTACTGCAGCTCTTTGAACACAAGTGATGTTTGCAACTAAAGTTGTTGCCTTGAAAACATATCATGTTTTACAAGAGGAAGTTGAAAATTGTGAGATCTACTTTGAGTGAACAATGAACTCAACTTTTATGTTATATATTGGCAACATATAACACTTTATGGGCATGTTTGGTGCATGGTATTGGACAATACTAGATAGGACGACATGCAAGAATTTAACTTGTTTTTCTTAAAAGATTCATGGTTTTGTTTTCTTATTATTGTTTTTCGGAAGTTGCAACTGTATCCTCATTTTTCATCCATTGTGTAGGTTTACCCCGGGGCATGGACGGCAATCTTGATCTCACTGGACAATGTCGGAGTTTGGAACATCAGGACTGAGAACCTCGACTCATGGTATCTAGGCCAAGAAACTTACATCAGGGTTGTCAATCCAGAGCCCAATAACAAAACCGAGTTTCCAATGCCAGATAATGCCTTGTTCTGCGGTGCACTTCACAAATTGCAAAAGTACATATTTGAACATCACTGCCATCTGAAATTCTGAATTTGTATTTTAATTGCTTCTTAGTTCTGTTTTTACTAATTTTTACCTCATTTTTCCTTTTTCGCTCATAGGCCTGAAGATATATCTTTTGCTACTTCAATTGGGAGCAATGGATCAAAATTGTTACTCGGTTCGCTGCTGATGGTATCTGCACTTATTTCAACGTTCCATTAAGAACTTAATATGTGATGCCGGCTTTATTTTGCTTTTGAGGGTTGTACTTGTAGTCGTGTTAATATGAATCTTGTAAGTCACATTCACCTTTATTTTTTCTTTCCGGATGTAATGCGTCTCGGATCGTTAATTAATTAATTGGAATTCACCATTCTTTTAATATTTTAACTTAAATATAATGAAGACAATTCATCTGTTTTTTTTCTTAGTTCCAGCAGAATATCAGACACTGATATTTCCTTGAATGAACAAAGCATAGGTGTGCTGTACTTGTTTTCATGTTCTTGAACTTGGTCGGTACTATATATACACGCACGTACTAACACTGATATATAATCCTTTTTTGGTTTTTCCATAGGCCGAAAGCGATCTTATTTTTTGCCAACAAACGAGTGAGAAGGGTGAAAAAAGATTTGAGAATCCTAATTTTGTGTGTGCAAGTCTTTACTGACTACTTCAACCAAGTTATTTTCGTGATAATTAGCTTGGAGTTGAGAAAATTTGAGCTTCCTTTTGTGATTAGCACATATTAACGACTCATAACTAAAGCATATTTGTTAATATTCTCGGTAACTTCTATTTTTTCTGCAACATTTCGTAACGCATACTAGCATTTCAATTGTAATTTTTTTCGAAAAGGAAATAAAATAGAAAAAAAAGTGAAATTTAATTAATTTAATGGTGTAAGATTTTCACCTCTAAATTCAAAAATTCATTTGAAATATAAAAACAATTAAATAGTTATGGATTACATTTCCACATTTTATAGTTTCTTGCATATTCAATCGCAACACTACTTATAAAATAATGTAAAAGGAAAAAAGGAAAAAAGAAAGTAAAATTAAATTAAATCATAAATATTTTAAAGTTCATTGCAAAATATTAAAATTTTTTTAAAAAAATGTACTAAATAATAGAGAGAAGAACAATTAGTGATAGATTCAGAGAGAGAGAGAGATAGTGTCTTGCAAAAGTTATTAAAAAATAGAAATAAGTTGAAACTAATAAAAATAAAATAATTGAATAACCTTGCATGAAAGTATTACGACTTTGTGATAGAATTTAATCACAATTCAGATTAATTATAATAATAACTATCTGTGTTCGACTACAACATGCATGTCTTTCTTTTTCTAAAATTTTTTTTTCTTCTTCTTCTCTGTTTTTTTAATAAAGAGAGACTCGTCCTCTATTCTCAATGTACAATGATTGATTTAATAAGTCACATGTTTCGACACTCTATTTTTTAAATTGTTCAAATTCCGTTTAAATTAATTGATTATTGACTATAAAAAATTACGTCAAGTAAAATATGAAAAAAAATCGATAAATGTTTTGAAACGCCGCGTGCACATACCAACCAATCATATCTTCTTCAAAGGATGTGCTCATTTTTAACAACTTCTAGTTCTCTCTTTGTCTTCAACCGCAAACTTGAGAGCAAAAATGGCTCTCTCTACAGTCTCCTTCTTACCTACAAAATCCATTAATATCATCTCCTCTTTATCTTTCTGTAACTGTAACAGAACCCTGAGTTCTTTCCAGTTTTCTTCAAATCCCTTTGCTGTAATGTCAGTTGGAGGCTCAAAATGGGAACACTGTTAAAGGTAAATTTATCGTTTTTTACTACAAGTTTTTACATAATTTAGCACCAGTTTTTTCTGAGATTAATACTTAGATAGTAATGGGAATGTAGAACTAAAGAATTGGAGAAGATTGTTTCAACTGCATTGGCTGCTGCTGTTATTGGATTTAGCTGTGATATGTCTGCTCTGGCTGAGCTCAATAAGTATGAAGCAGAAACCCGAGTTGAATTCGGGATTGGATCAGCAGCTCAATTTGGTTCTGCTGACCTCAAGTGAGTTCTGTTCAAGATATTTGTATCTTTTTCGCATTTCTGGGTTTTGGGAATATTTGAATTTTGTGTTTGTAATTGTGCAGGAAAGCAGTCCACGTGAACTAGAATTTCAGGTAATTCTTCCCCTCATAGCACAGGGAAAGTTCGGAAAGTATTTACAATTGTACAATTAAATTAAGGTTTAAATTGAACATCGAGAACATCTTTGGTACGCCTATTGAATATGACTAGACAGTACAATAGACATGAGTTTACCTTATTTTTTTTCATTAATACTATCGCATGAAATCTATGTTGGGATGTTACTTGTCCCTTGGGCCTTAGTCCAAACTACGGCTCAATGGGGAGGGCTCATTTACTCGCTACCAATTTCATGCTACCAAGGTGGAGTTCGAGGAATTGGCCATAAGCCTTCTATATGGAAGGTCTGAGGTTCAATTCCATGGATGTCAGCTTGGTAGTGTGAAATCTGTAGCGCATAAATTATAGCGTGGGCCATAGTGCAAAGCAAGGCCTAATAAATAAGGTGTCCTAACAATCTACTCTATCAAATATGCCATGTAAGCATCCAGGCTCATGAACGGTGATGATTTCACAAACAGTGTGGTATGAGCTAATCAGTGAAGCAATTTCATGAAAATTCCAAAGTCATTGAATGATTTCTTCTTCGCATAGCGTATTCAGTTGTGTCGTGGACTTGTTCTGGTGAAGATATACTGATAACCATTTCTTAGAAATTCTGAATTTTCTTCTTGTGGATTGTTAGGCACTAGTATTCATTCAAGAATTTAGGCTTCTATTCATATTATTACTTGAAATGACTGATACAGAAGAGCCAATTTCACAGCTGCTGACATGAGGGAAACAGATTTCAGCTGTTCAACTTTCAACAGTGCATATCTTGAGAAAGCAGTTGCATATAAAGCAAATTTCACAGGTACGTTCATGTATACTAATAAAAACATTTTTCCATATGAAATTAAGGCCTTGTCGTCTCACCTTAAAGAATATGATTCACTGTTAATCAACCACACATTTTATATTTCCTCCATGGACATCCTTGTGAAGCCATAAACCAATAACGATCAGCCTCTGAGAGCTTTTTCACCTGATCTTCCTTAGTAACATATGTAGCATTTGTTCCACAATTTGGAGGAAATGATTGAATCCAAGAAATCTCTCTTCATGGTTGAAGCGTCTTAATTGAAGTGCCTCGTCTTTTCTCCAAAGTACTTTGTCCACTTATCCAAAACCCATTTACTCAGTTTTTGATTATTTTCTATCTTCACTCTCAAGCAAAGCATTTCGTCCACTTATTCATGTAAATAGATCTTTTTAACATTATTGTTACTGTGTTTAGCTAATTGCCTAAATACACAAGGAAAGGTATGGATAATATTGCATCAATCCTTCTTGAATTAGACTTATCTATGGTACTGGAACAGGGAAACTCTTTGTTTTTGAAGAACTTACTTTTCCCATTCTCTCAGGATTGGATATGTCGGTTATTGAAACAAACAAATCAAAAGAACAAGTGAGCACTGACTTGAGACAAAAAACAGATGCTGGAGTCAGGAAAATCACAAAATTTTGAAAATACAAAACAAACACGAGCTACCATAAAATTTTCTGTTGATTCCCAATAAAACTAAAAAACTAGGCAACATGACTTGTAGAATACTGAGAATTGGGGAATAATAACCTTTATATCCTCAAAGAAAAGAGGAAACACCACCATCATCTCAAGTCCCTTTTCACAGATTATCTCATAGAACAATTTTAGTGAAAACCTCTCATGCCCCAACAAAAAGAATGCTATAACTCCAGCATTTAAAGTATACTCATTTTAGCAGCATAACCAAAAGCGGGGAGAAACAGAAAGAACGGTTTACAATAAGAGCCAACTTAGCACCTACTTAAAAATAGGACAAGCCCATTAACTTGGCATAGAGGACTTTATTCATATCTTTCTTCCCTTGTTGTTCATGCCTAAAGTCATGCACAAAAATATTTGAGAAATATACATCACAACACTTTGACAGAAAAAAAATGCTACATGCATGAAGAGGGAGGAATACAAACGAAATCAATAATGAATAGGTCCAATGTGAAGTAGAATCTCACCTGTCTGTAGTGTAAAAATGGTAATTCTGATCATTAGGAGAGTATACTAATATAGCAAGTCCCCTGCCATTTTCAAAATACGTGTGACATTGTGCAATGAAGGGATTTGTATACATACATAGAGGTGTCTCTCGACTTCAATCTTTGCTTAGTAAAAACTCTTCAAAGCTAATCAAATCGCTTAATATATGTCTGTCATCTGGCTCTTCCATATTGATTAATAAACAAGTCTCCCACAATCTTCTACTTCAATGTAACTCTAGAAACAGACACGTTAATGATCTTGTATTGTCCCTGGTATTATGACTGCTATAGAATTCGAAGCTAAAAAATTGAACGGATCAACAGTGCTTCCCTACTTAGTTAGACTCGTCAATACAAATAATTTCTACAAGTCTAAGAGTATTCCACTTTGTCTCTCCTTTTCGGATGATATATCATAGCCGTTATTCATTAAAGGTTGCTTAGTGGATGGGAAGTTATTAATTCCGTGTAGGTTTCAACAGGTGCAGATTTGAGTGACACATTAATGGATCGGATGGTAAGCCTTATTGATCCTTGTAATTTTCAAAATTCCACTTGATTGTACATTTTCTATACAACAGATTATTCTTCATGAAGATGTTTTAATCATCGAAAAGTCAATTGCACCATTTTCTTTTGCCATAAGTTCTTAATGAAGCCAATCTAACAAATGCTGTCCTAGTGAGGTCAGCCCTGACCCGCAGTGATCTTGGAGGTGCTATCATCGATGGTGCTGTTTTCAGTGATGCTGTTATCGACCTTTCCCAGAAACAGGTATTTCTTGAAGTAATCGTCCTTTTGCCCTGAGGTTTTTAATGTTAATTCTGTTCATTTTAGGTATAAATGCTCGAAATATGTCTACAAAAATAATTGGTGTTGATGACTCAAGTAGTTGTTGATGCTAATGATAAGATAAAAGATTCATTAATTTCGTTTTTTCACTGCCAAAAGCCTTCGGACTTTTGGAAGATAGCGCAAAACGGGTCAGCTTATCTACAAATTCAGTTGTAGGCTCCAATACTTTGGTCGACTTTTGTATACTAGTGAACGAAGAGGAATTTAGGACGTTGTTAGTTGTAGCTTTGTTAAATTTCCTTTTTTTTTATCTGTTAGTGAGATGATTTTTATTTTCAAAGTTTTCAACATGCTTCTATGTTTCATTGAAGTTCTTAACTTTTGTATAGGCTCTTTGCAAATACGCAAACGGAATGAACCCAATAACCGGAGTAAGCACCAGAGAGAGCCTGGGATGTGGAAACTGTCGAAGAAGGATTTGTCTTCTTGTACATAATTTTTTCACCATACTGGTGTCCATACACACACAAGTGGTGGGCCCCATTCAAATAAAAATCTTGTTTGTGCTCCACCAGAGACACTTCTCGCCCGATATGGATTCTGCGATCGAGCCATAGTGGTGGGACCCATTCAAATAAAAATCTTGTTTGTGCTCCACCAGAGAAACTTCTCGACCGATATGGATTCTGCGATCGAGCCACTGGTCTTTGTGATGCAAAGTGATTGCTCAAATCAAATCAATGTAGATAAAATCTTGTAATAGAAAAGAAATCACTGATGTCTATTATGCGCTCGTCATTATTTGAAGTGAATAGAGATGCCACAAACAGTTTGATGACGTTCAAACCTCATTCGATTGAGCTTATGAAATTCATAGACACAATCTTACGTTGGTAGACACTTTGAATTTGTTGTTGTCTAAATGGTGCTTTTCCTTTTCTATTACAACATGAGCAGCAGAGAATTTCTTGGCCTTGAAATGTGGTCCCTAGGGATGACAACGGGCTCGCCCCCCTGCCCCGTCCCCACCTCGTTACCCGTTTATGGCGGGACGGGGCGGGGCGGGGCGGGGCCTTTCCCCATTTAAATTATTACACCCTCCATCCCAATCATATAGATTGAGTTTCCTTTTTTTCTTATCCCAAATATATATGCGTATTTCCTAATGTAGAATATTTTGTTGTATTCTTTTACTAATATACCCTTATTAAATTTTCTCCACTTGATATGCAAACTTCTNGAACAACTCTCATTTCCTCTTCTTATTCAAATTCTTTATCAATTCCAACAATAATTTAGTTTTACAGGTTGAAAATTCAATAGGGGTAAAGGAGGAAAGATCTTGACAAAAATTAATTTTCCTATGACATTATAGAAGATTTCTTAATCCGTGTGAAAAACTAAACAAGCCTATATAATTGGGAAGGATGGAGTTTTTTTTTTTTTTTGGGTAAAATATCCTATCTTGAAAATCCAAGCCTTAGGATATGATTTTATTAACAAAATTCAAGTACAATGCAAGGAGGGGGACTTATGTACCTTACCTCCAAATAAATTACAATTAAGCTTCTACAACCTACAGATGAAAACTAATCTGCACTAAGCTAAACATGATACAAAATGCAATTACAATTAAAGACCAAATCTAAAATCAGAAAGCCAAAACTAATTAGAAACTAATCTAATAGACTCCAAACCAATTTTATCAAGATTCACAATACCTTTGATCCTTCCCTTGAAATCACTAGCTTCAATCCATTTGAACTTCCTTTCACTATAACCTTTAGCAGCAAACCAGTCAGCTGCTTGATTGCCTTCCCTCCAAGTGTGTGTGATTTTATTCTCCATTTTCTCCATAAGCCATCTAATGGATTGTAATATATATTGCACTTCCCATGTTCCATTGTTCTGTGTGATCAAAATTAGAGCCGCCTGAGAGTCCGTTTCAATCCAGACTTTCTTTATGCCATGTTTCAAGCACAATTGCAATCCCGTGTCTATAGCTCTAAGTTCAGCTTCCAATATAGAGCATTCTTCATAACAGTCATAAAATCCCCAAGTTGCAATTCCCATGCTATTTTTATTGTCCATATTCATTATATTTAGACAAATAATTTTAGTTGTTATTTTCTATTAGAACTAATGGAAATTTTCATTTAAAGTATTGAATTCTAAAAAATAAAAATTAATTAATAAATAAATAATTTTAAATGGGGGGCGGGGCCCCCGTTACCCGTTCCCACCCCGAACCCGCCACGCGACAAAATTCCCCGCCACATTACCCATTTAAGCGGATTATCCCCGCCTTGTTCAGGGCCATGAGTATTGGGTTTGTCGGAGTTTTTTTTGGTAATCCCTAGTGGTCCCAATTATTGTGAAATGCTAATTATAAGCCCTGTGAAGGTTTATTACCTTGAGACAACAATAGTTGGAGTAATGATTAGGCATGGAGTCATATTCCATTATCCATAAGTCACATCTCTTTTTATTTTGGCCATGTCAGGACCAATTCAACGGCAACAATTTGTCAAAGATAACGATCTGCATGTTCTAGTGATGGGGTCGTTGTGTAGAACACAGTAGGCAAGCTCTTATGGCAGTCTTATCCGACTCTCAGAAAAAAATGCGAGCCATTCTTATCGATCCCACAACTAGCCTCCCCAAAGTCCGTCCAACTATTTTTTCAACCATGCTACATGTACAATGGAGGATGGCAATGTTGGATTACCAACACTCACAATTGGAGGGGTCCACTATTTTTTTGAAATTTTTTAATCGCGCGGAGTCCACATGCATGTGAGAGGTTATCAACCTCCATTGTCAACTATCCATTGTACAAATGGAATTACCCCTATTTTTATGCCACTAGTTGTAACGTGTTTCTTTGGGCTGCATAAACTTTACTAAACCTTTCCTGAACCCCTTGTACTCAAACAAATTTTAAAAATATGAATCAGTATGCAAATGAAAAACCACCCTCTTTTCAATTGGATTATGGAGAGGCCTCAAAATGAAAATGTGTTCAATGATTAAAGGAAGAATTCAAATTGCTTGGCTTCTAATTGTTTCTTTTTTAAAGTGGATCAACATGAAGATCTAAAGTGGAAATGGGAAACAAACAATAACTGCAAATAGTAGATCATGTTCTCTTCTAGCCATCAACTTTTCTCTTGTTTTAATTTTTTTATTTATTCTCTTAATCGGACTCGAGGGTAAAATTGTCCTTTCATTAAATTTAACGATACTTAATCCTTGATTTCTAATAGAGTTAGATTCCATGTTGGTACATTGTGTTACTTAGTTACGTTACGCAAAAATAAATTCTTTTACAATCATCGTCCTATCATTTGATCGTAACCCTAGAGGTAATCTTTAGACTTATAAGTCACTAGCCCTCTTTTTTGGGGTTTAAGTAGAGACCTGAATATTTCATCTAAGCTTTAATAGTGTTTTGCTTTTAAAAGAAAAAAAAATCAATAATCATCAACATTTTTCGTTAAGTAGATATTTTCATATTAATATTTTCGTTAAAATAAAACGAAGTTTAGTGTTATTAATCCTTTTTCGAGCAATTTGAGGACACTCTTCTGGTTTTTAACTCATGTTAATGTTTATTTTCAAATCTTCTTTTATTCTCCGGTGAACTTTTTCTTAATCCACCATGGTAGTCGATAAATATGCAATAAAATAAATATTTTATGATATATCTTATAAATTATATACATCATGCACGTGTTAGTCTACATGATCATATAGAATAATTTACTTTAATATTTTTGAACATGAACATGAAAAAAAAATGCAAAATGGTTTAGGTTGACAAAGAGCAAGTCGAGCCGAGCAAAAGATTACAAGACAATGGGACTTTACATAATTCACAAGATCTTAAAGATCATTAAATGATGAAACCGGTGGAATGAATGATATCTATATATATTATACAATGGTATTGAGTGATTACAAGCAACAAAGGAGTGGAATGAATTAATGAGCCAATTGGTCGCGCAATTTATGCTAAACTTACCGAGAGACTTATTGATATGACATAAGATCCAAGGGCAAATCTTTTCCACTTTGAGAGAATGCATCCAAGATTCAAAAGGCTATGGCTTGGAATGATTTTACAATTTATGTATCTTAAATTACGCATTTTATTTAACAATGGTCTCAATTATATTTGGGAAGAGTTTAGGGACTAATTTTGCAATTTCATTCGACATGGCATTATAGCTTTAAAACCAATGGATGCAGCAAATCTAGTTTTTCACGAAGGGACCAAACATATAGCGATTGACTGCCATGTAAGTAGATAAGATTAATCCCTTGTTTGAGCCCCTTTTTTTAAAAAAATATTTTTTTAAAACTCATTTTCAACCATATATTCTCTAATAAAATAATTTTATACGTAAACTAAAAATCATTTCTTACTTTTTAACCACGTAACTCCAACAAATCATTATTTAAGAACACAGTTTCTCCCCAAAATGAGGTTCAAACAAGGGCTTAACTTGGTCAGTTACTTACAAGGTTCATAAAGTCTCAGACACGGGTTAAATCCACCAATGACCACCCAACTTTATACTTGGTGTCACCATGGCCACCCATTTTAATTTTGTTTCACTATGACCACCCAACTTTATATATTAATGTTACCATGACCACCAAATTTGATTTTATTTCATTGGTCATCCAATTTCATATAATATTTCACATTAGCTATCACATTTCATATAACATTCCAGTATTGTCACCCAATATCTTTTCACCATTTTCATTAATTTTAAAAGGGGTAAAACTGTAACTTTACATTATATATAAAAATAATTTTAAAAAATTAAAATAAAAACTTATTTAAAAAACTTTACTTTAAAAAATAAAATAAAAAAAATTATTTAAAAAAAACATTTTTAAAATAAAATAAAAACTTATTTTTAAAAAATTTACTTACAAAAATAAAATAAAAACTTATTTTAAAATAAACATTTTTAAAATTAAAAAAATTACTTTTATTTTGTTTTTTTGTTTTTTAAATTTAGGGCACAATTGATATTTATGCTCTAACTTGAGGGGATCATGGAAATATATGAATAAAATCAGAATAAAGGGATTGAGAGATCACAAAGAGTTTGTTGAGTTAGCTATTTCCATGTAGATTAATTATGTAATTTCTTGTATATAAACATGTGCATGTATTCCTTTTTTTTTTCCCCCCATGGAAGAAGTATATATTTTTGTATAATATTGTTTTGCCACATGTTTTTACTTTTTAACATGTTGGATGACAAAAAATGATTGGATGTCAATGTTGACTGCTTTTTAAACAGTTCAAAGCATGATTGTATATTTTTTTCCTTTTAAGTCATTTATCAATATTAATCGTTCTTTTCAACTTTCGAGTGTCACGCATTTTTCGAGAAGGCAATGCAGTGGCTCATGCTCTCGTTGCACAGGTGGTTGTTTCTCAGGAAGCAGCGCAGTTACTCCATGATTTTGCTCCTGATTAGTGACACATTACGATCTTAACTGCCGTAATTACCGATTTTGCTGATTTGTTTTTGTTTGCCAACAAAGGCTTATATAACATCTCTTGTTTTCATTTACTTTAATTATTTTGTTATTTGAATAAATTGTCGAGGTAGGCCAATGATAATGGTGTTACAAAGGTGCCAACATAGTTAAGATGCCCTTACTGATATTCATATCCGACCACTTCATAGGGATAAAAAAGGTGCTTTGAGTTATGACTATAAGAAGGGTACCTACATAGTACAAATGATGCACTATCACATGGACCTGTACCACCTCGTCAATTATATGTAGTTACTTAGACTGAAAACAACATTTGCAATGAACCCTAATTATTATTCAGTAACACATTAATTACTCAACACACTGCATCAATGCGCATGTTCTGCTTCATTTGCCATTTGCAGAGGCTTAGAAAATTCATTACTCCCACTGTCTTCAAATAATGTAATAACAATGTCTCTGCATTTCATATTGCCCGAAAACAAAACGTTCAATTACTGCTAGAATAAAAAGATAACACGACAATTCAATTATAAGTTGAGATAAATAACTAGTAGTCGAGTACGTTATTTTAAGAAACTACAAGTGTCAAGACGGATGGTAACTAATCTATTACGGATAAAAAGAGAAGGTGCTATTGAGATATATACTTTACTAACATTGCATTGCATTTGTATGGGACTTAGGAGAAACAAAGCAAATGAAAAATATTCAAGACTGAATGACTGGGGTAGAGGGGGGAGCTACCGGCTGCATCTAGTCGAATGTTGGGTACGCTTGATTGACATTTGGTTGGTACTTTCATGGCTTTGATGGAGAGGTGGATACTAAGACAGGTCCCAAACGTTGCCGAGTATAAGTGAATATGATAAGACGCTTTTGATTACATTCATGAAGACTGCAAAAAAGTTACGAGCTTTTTGAATTTAGGGTTCTTTCATAAATTTATACGATCTCCTTCATGTAGCGAGTTCGAAAGGAATTAAAACCTGGAGAGAAACTTCACTGGATGTATGATGACAATGAATTAGGCAATGGTGCATGACATCTAGTTATTTAAATTGTTATGGAAAATGGAATGCTCTAATACTAGTTCGTTGTGGGAAAATAAGAGATTTAAGTGTAATATGAAGTTATTGATCACAAGAACATAAAAATAAAATAATTTGCATGGAATTGAGATTTTATTATAATATGGAGAAAGAATACAAAGATTATATATTTATGATTTGTCTAATTTCTTCTAAATCGTAATGAAAAGTCAACTATATATAGGGAACAAATAGAGGACATCCAAATTCTTATAGTAGAGTTGTATACAAAAAAACGAAGTCCAAAACGGAAAAAGAGATTAAAACAGTACAGGGAGGTAGAATAGGTGGCGCTGCGAATGCCATTGCCACAGCGCTCAGTTTTCTTCCGATGCCCACTCTCGGGTCCTTTACTCCAAAAACTTGATTTTCTTCATCCCAAAATCCTCTTTAAGGACAACACAAATTTCTATTTTCAATGAGTTTTCAAGTAGAACTTTAATTAGAACTCATCAAGTAAACTTGGATAGGATTTCAGAATTGTATTCCAAATATGATTCTAATTATTGTGCACTTTAATTAAAACTCTCAATTATTTTCAATAAAGAATTTGGGTCACACTCAAATTTTAATAATCTCCATTTTGACACAAATTCCACTACAATGAACAAAATTTCAAAAAGATTCTCCACCTGAAGACAAATTCTACTGTAAATAATAAACTTGAACTCTTCAATGAAAAAACACAAAATGAACTTCTCCATTAACAATTCCAATTGGAAATATTCTCTACCTCTGCTACCCTAATGAGGGGTAAAAGTGATCTAATGACCATCAAATAAGAATTTTGGCCAGAATCAACATCTTTAACCATATTCAAACTATTAACAAAATTAGCAAAATTGTATCCATGTGGAGCCTTATGGCCAAAAATGGGTCTATTTTTAACAATTAAATACGATTACACTATCGATAATGGTGACGTTGCTTCAGATTAGTAAGATTTTTCTTCATGCATAATTGCTCCAATTTTAACCATAATGCAGTAGTTGATTTATCCTTCAAAACGTCCTGAAGAATATTATTTGAAAGATGAAGATGTATTTGAGATAGGGTCTTTTAATCCCTCCATTATTTTTCCTCCATAGTCGAAGTTGTGGACATCTTATCAAATCCCAACAACGCATCGTTCAAATTCATCTGAGTGAGTACGGCTCGCAACTTTACCTGCCATAAAGAGAATCTTGTATTGCGATCTAATAGCGGAATATCATACTCCAAGTCTCTAGACGGGTAATTTATTTTTATTTTTATTTTTTCTTATTTGTTTTATATAAACTACTTTAGGTGGCATGTATTATTAATAATGAAATAAAATGGTACAGACTTTGGAGGGACTTTGCTTAACTTTCCGGTAAAGTCGTAAAAGAAAAAACTCACAAGGAAATGAGAAGAATAATGTAAAAATTAAACAACTACTGTTCATGAGATTTTAGGTGATACTCTTCGTTCTCTTCAACTCCGAATCATTTTTACACTCGCTACTTGAAGGAATCGAGTAAATTTATTTTGGTACCCAAAGTTGGAGTAAGTTTTTGTGTTCTATGTTTAGATTCTCCCATCAATAAATTGCCACCTAGAGTGAATTTGATTTTAAAAATAAAAATAAAAATGCATTAGTATATAACTCTAGGCAGGACAAAAGAAACAGCCTAGAATAATGCTAATAAACAGGCCGTGATACAACAATATAAATATGTTTTAACCTTAAACTTGGTAAAAAGCGCTTGTGTCCCTGTGTGTGGATAATGAATAATATAAAGAGGGCATGAGAGCACGCTGAATGATTATGCCTCATGTGCAATTGTCATTTTCATGCTTAGAATTCAACCCAAGTGAAATCATGTCCCAAGTCAATAAACGGCTGACAAACAACATTATTCCGTGTTTCTTATTCTCATTGCATAATTATACATTGGATGGAACCTTTGATTCCTTTTTCGGAGGTATAAATATATACAGAACTAACAGAATTTTGAAATGTACCAGAAAAAAACAGTATTTTATGGATTCTTTCCCTTACCATCTTCATTAACTTCCAAAAATCTTCGTCTTTGAATCGGGAATTCGTGAGCTGCTGATGATGGAAAATATTCTCACGACAAAGGGTGAAATCTTGTACCATTTCCTTCCTTATTTTTTTCCTTTTTTTTCTTTTTTTCTTTTTAGTGGGGTTTTCCCAATAAAAACCCACGCGCTATCAGTATTGTGCTTCGGCTAGTAAACCTGAGCTGTAGAACTAACACTACGAGTGCCATTGCGAGCATCTGAGTTAGGTCAACCTACATAGTCATAACTTTTTATACGTTCGTAACTCGATTTAAGACGTGTTCTTTCGTGTTCCTTTTCTAAATTTTTGTGGGTATTTTTTCATCATCTTAAGTCTTAACCTAATGGTTTACACCAGTGTAACAATGTCTTCTCTTTCATACCATGCCATTGCTAGAAAAGCCATGCAGAGCTACAAGTGTACTTTTTATGTTATATATCAGGAAAATGCCCAGTAAGCCATAGTTTATGGAACATTTGATTAATCCTTCCAGCTAGGCTTGATTTTTTATATAATTTTCTCTGGTTTTATAATTTTATAGGGTTCACTTCTAGACCATACTAGCTAGCGGCATACTTGTGAATCAATCCCCAATTGGTTTCTCTCTCTCTCTCTCTCTCT